TGTGGATGAGTCCTAAGACTCTTCTTTCTCTAACAGGGACACAGGCAATCCCCTCATTGGAGCCTCATTTCATCGAGCAGCACCGGGAGGAGCTTATCCGGAGGACTGCCACAGTGGAGGGAGTTTTGGATCTGCTGCATGGAGTTGTTCTGGATGAAGAGCAATACCAAAGAATCACTGCGCGGGAGACTAACCCAGATAAAATGCGGGAACTCTATCGACTAGTGCCAAGCTGGGACCACTCTTGCAAGGATCGGCTGTACGAGGCATTGAGGAAGAAAAACCCATTCCTCATTGCAGAACTTGAAAGGAGATGAAGCTGTGAAGAAGACGATACAGTGCCATTCAGGGGGCAAAGAGAGTCCAGAATCATATGCCTTGGGACCCAGGACCATATAAAACTTTCCCTAAGCACATACAGTGAAATATTATCTCCTTTGTGGTGTGGAGAAGAAATGGTGACCAGGCACATGGGCATTGTGGGAACCAATGCTCCCTCTAAGCTGTGGAGTCTTGTGAGCAAAAATTCTACTTTGTGAGCTACTGGCATTAAAACTGTGAGCAAGCGATTTGGCTACTGCATAAATTAGTTTGCTCTGGAGCCGTCCTTCCTGAGCTAAGATAAAAATGTGTGAGCTGGAGGCTAAAAAACTGTGAGCTAGCTCGCACTAACCCAGCTTAGAGGGAACACTGGTGGGAACTATGCTGCGGGGCAACAGCTGCCGAACGAGGGATTCTGGAGTGAGATGGAGGGAGGGTAGACACTCCTTGTTAGGGTATTTTTGATGCAGGAGCACCATGTATTATAGTCAGGATTGCTATGCTGTTTTGAATGATAATTGCAAAGCAGCTACACTGATTACTGATTTGCTTCCAGACTCATTTCAAGGTGTTGGTCCTTTCATGGAAAGCCCATTGTGATCTGGGATCCTCATACCGGAAGGACTGCCTCTCTCTTTACCAATCCACATGCCATCTTCAGTCTTTCTATCAGTTGCTTTTGGTGGTGCTCCTATTGTTGGAAATACGTGTGTTGCAAGGTCTAAGTTCAGTCATTATAGGGTTGTGTTTACCTTGTGTGCTAGACTGACCTGGAAGGTAACCTAACCCAATGGGGAGAAAGGCTGGGAAACTGGAATCTATTTACTAACAATCATTGGTTAATGTATTTAGGGGATTTCCTTCTAGGGTCAAGAAGAAAGAAGAATCTCCATTACCAACCGCGTTGCTAGTCAGTCTGTTGTTGTACTTGTAACAGTAAGGATGTAGTCTTAAGTGTTTGCTGTTTTGTAGATTTCCTGTGTACCTTTTCCTTTAGAAATAAAGATTTTTACATAGAAAGAATATGCCTCCTCTCCAGTGAACAAAGATCCATTGCAAGCTCTGAACTAAATTTCTAGCCTCCCCTGAGAGAATTGCAATTCCCTGTGCTCTGGGGATAAAGACGTGGCTGGGAAAGCAGTTTCATCTTGCTGTGATGTGGGCATAAGAGAGAAAGCATACCCTTCCACTCCTGGATGGGTTCATCAATTGAACCTGACTCCTTATTAGGCTTGAAAGGGGGGGGGGGCAAAGAAGGGGTATCAGGTTTTGGTTTTCCCTTTCCAGGGATAATAACAGTTGAGTGTGCGTCTGTCTATGTTTCAATTTCAATCAGCAAAACCATATAAAATTCCCAAACCTTCCTTGCAAATAGCAAATCTTTCTTTTCTCTTTTGGCAGCTCATCAACTG